TGCTAGCGCCTTGCCGTGCATCAACTCTTTGACGGTATTTTGCAACCCTCTCCATACTCATCGTCGTCGTCGCCATTTCAACTAAATTGTCTCATGAATTCAAAGGCAGCACGCGGAAGTGTTCACAAAAGCTCCGACCTCTGAACAGGCTCTCGTTGCTCTGATGATTGCATTGTTAATTTATTAGGTTTTACTCCATAAAAGGGCTGTAAAGCTTCGGCTGCGAAGAGGGGGTGAGAGTTAATCTCTTCAAATATTTATATGCATTTAAATTAACCCGCTTCGACACTACCGAATCGACTTCCAAGTGGGTTCCTACACAAAAACAGTAAATCGACTTCCGCGTGATACGGGACTCGTAAGACGTGATGAAAACATACCCAACGTCCTTCAAAGATGTGATGATACATCACGAAAGGATATAATACAGGGTGTCCACAAAGAGTAGGGGGGTGTTTGTAAATTCAATTTAAAAAGCTGCAAGTCAAGTTAAAAAAAAGTCCAATGAGACCTTCACCAGTCATGGCAGCTCACACAATTAACTTTTGGACTATGTAGTGGTTGTTCATGTTTATGCCTTAGATTTTCTTTGGCCCAGTAGCAACAGAACAAACAAAATAGCTCAAAACCCCAACGCCAAAACACGACACTGAACAGTTGTCTGAACTGAGTTCACTTCAGTCCTTGAAGAATTACCGAAAAGTACGTGTGTGTTTTGGCGTTTTTGTTTGTTCTACAACAACCGCCAAAGTTTTTCCAATCTTCATAATCCAGTAGCAACAGTTTTGTTTGTTTACGTGACTGTTTAATAGAATGTTTTCAAACGTTGGAAAGCGTTGAACCATTACATTTGCGAAATTCAGTCTGAGAGGATAATCGGTGACGTTCAGTTTTTGAACTAACTGAATTTTGTAAACTGTAAGATGTAAATCTTGCTTTAGAATCTTCTGTAACGACGATTGTTTAATGTCAAGTTCTTAACTACGTTTGCGAACTGATTGTGACGGATTTTCGCGCACTGACACTCTCATTACTTCAATGGTGGCCTAGAGGTCTAGACCATTGCTTAGCATTCGGGAGGACGCCGGTTCGATTCCGGGTCCGTCCGCCTTGGTCCAAGTTTTTCTGTGGTTTCCTTGGATCACTTAGGCAAATGCTGAGGCAGTAATATTCCACAGATAATCTTTCACCCTCTTCTGTCTTCATTTCGTCCGTCTCATCTTTCTCACCCGAACCACCACCCACCCATTCCCACGATTCCTGAAAGCAGGCTGAAGAGGGCCTTCCGCCCTACCTTCCGGCATAGTCCGGAGGGACTGCCCGCCCACCAGCATTACTGACTGGTGGGAATGAAACACCCAAAAGTTTTTAAAGTTTTTTCGTTTGTTGGGTTCGAACAGAGCGCGGGCGTCCTGGATTGTGAATTTTTGAATATCCTCGAACATTCAAATCCATTTTCTGTTAGTATCGTCCTTCGGTGCGTTCCGAAAATTGAATTTTGTCCGATATAATCGTTCAGCTATGATCATCGAATCACCAATACGAGATGATCCACATTACAGAAAATTAAAAGATTTGAGTACATCTAATTCTCAGACATCTTCGATTATACCATGGGGTTTGAATTAAGAAAGTGCAGCATTGTTTAAAACTGTGGGTACGTAGGTACATTGTTCCAATTTAAATCTGAATAATGTCTGTACAAACATAATGCGAACACGGTCGTGTAGTTGTTGAAAGTAGGCACTGAAAACAAACATTCCAGTTCTCTTTACAACGATATGCATTGAGTGTTTTTGTCGACTTGAACAATTCTCTTTTTGCAACGTTCTTAAGAGTTCCTTTGGCCAGTAAAACGAAACTGCAAAACAATAACCGTCTTTGGTTATTGTTTAGCGCACATACATGCATATGTACACATGCCCAGGTATAATTCTTGCATATTAAAACGACGGGCTAAGGGGGCGATATTAAGTGCTCTCGACCATTGTTTCGAGGTCCTGTTTTACCAGAACTCTAACGATGTGTTCTCTGCAGTCTGCAGTAATTTGGTCTATTTATTCATTTATTCATGCAATATCTGCAATGACCTGTACTATTTCCGAAATCGATATAAAGTTGTAGTGCCCGCATACGTAATGTATAGATTACGTAGCTTCTATTCCATGCAGTCATTCGACTTAAATTAAATCGTCTATGTTGCCTTCGGCAGAATCAAACAGCTGTATTAGAAGCGGAACGAAATTAGCGATGACCAACTTTTCGAACGCGTGTGGACCAGATTTAATCTGCAGGAGGTAACAAACTTTGTTCAATTTCAGATTATTGAGGAAATCGGAAAGCTTTATAAATAAAACATAAATTACTTATGTCTATAGGTATGCAGATAAATTTACCAGAATATTAAAGTTTTTACCAGTTGGAGCTGAAAAACTGGACCCAAAATAGTAGGAAAATTGCAACCACTATTCGTTAAGGATGTTTGGGAGGTACAACCTAAGACAAGGGTGCATAAAATTAGAAATTCGTGATTAATTAGGTTTTGCAGCATATGAGGTAAATAAATACTATCTATACTAAAAAAAGGATACGGTTTGAGAAAAAATTTGGAATTTGACCAAAATCTTTGAATAAAATAAGAAATATCGAATAATATGGAAAATTTTTAACTGACTTGGCAGTGAATATGCCTTGATTTCAACTTGGAAACAAAAAAATATTTAGTTTCAATCTTTATTAATAATGAGCGTAAAACTTTTTAATATGTTTAAATAATAATTAAAACTTTAAAATTGCATTTATTTCAGACAATTATAAATATTATCATTATATTATCAAGTAAAAACGAGATTTTCAGCTAATTTTTCATTTTTTCCTCGATAACCATTTAGTGAATTTGAATAACCTTACGCTAAAGTGATTCTCCAGAGTTCAAGTTACTTATTATAAAAGTTTGAAATTTCTGGTAGCTTTTTTTCTGTTAATAAAAATAAATTTAATCTGTTCGGTTAACGAATCTCCATAAAATGACGTGTAAAATTACAATTTTTTAAAATTTCAGTAACTTTTTAACGGTTTAGTGAATCAATTTGTAATTTTTACAGGAGTTTTAGAATTGAATGAGGAACGTTCTTCCAAATTTTTATTTGTCTCATAGCATTTTGACATACCTCCCAAACATTCTTAAATGAAATGCATTTCTCTGTCCGTATGTTAGATTAAAACTAAAGAAAAATTTAAAACCCTATGACATTTTTAATTACTATTAGTGGTTAATATGTAATATTAATGTGAAAATTCATTTTCGATTTTCCATCCACTACAAACTTCCTCAGGTTAATGAGGAAAAATATTAAACAATTTCCTCATTAACCTGAGGATGTTTGTAGTGGATGGAAAATCGAAAATGAATTTTCACATTAATATTAAAGAAAGATTTTTGCTCTATTATTAAAAAGAAATATAGTTTGAGGCAAATAGGAGACCTGTTTGAATGAAGATGGCTCATCTACTCGAAATACAAAATTTGGGAATTTATTTTTGAAAATATATTGGTAAGACAAGTGTAAATAAATTCATCTATTCATCGCATTCACGTTATCCTTTATATCTTTCTCTAACTTCAGCATTATCTCCTTTTGTCGTACTTTTATGTAGATGTTACGAAAATCGAAAATCAAAATCCATTTAATAAACTACGGCACCGTTGCGTCAGGTGGTCATATATCTTTGATAATAATTAATTTCTGTTGGAAGCGAGGCTGAGTTTATCACATGGAGAATCAATAAGTTCACGAGCTATTTAAATCCCTGGGTCCCATCATTAGTCTTTCTAACGCGATACTATCAACAACCTCGCCCAAAAGAGGTAACAAAAAATCACTTGTCTCTCGGCCCGTGTAACTTAAGGAATTTTCGGAGACACTTTAGGACGTGAATCCATTAATTACCGGCTCCTTGCGCTGAAAGATCGTGGCAACCCTTCCACAAAGAAACTCCCGATCGAAGATAAACCGGACCTCTACATCTTTCTCTCTCCATTTTGCTCTCCTCCTTCTTTGTAACCTGCCTACCTGTCTGACATAACCCAACAACATCAACAAACGTTACCTACTCCCTGCTTTTCCAGGAAATATTCACTTTACTTTCTGTTTTCTATTAGATAGAAATTAACTATTATTCCTACATAAAACCCATCAGAGTATACAAATTCCCTAAAAATTGAAGATCAACTCGATAAAATATTACATTTTGTGTTGCAACAGACCTCTGCTTCCAATTTCGCAATCGCGGAACTTCCGCATACATTTTCACATCCGCTTCTGCGTCTGGTTATTACAGAAGTTTATCGGAACTTAACAAAATCTTTCAGTTCAATAGCATATAAATTAAGTTCCCATGTTTTTTACGCTAATTAGACATTTATTTATTAATAACTCCGTGACAATTTCTAAATCAAACACTACTGGAAATCTCTCTCACGTAACCGTTTGCTGTTAATGTTGATGATCACGATGATGCAAATAAGGTTGCTCTAATTAAAAGTTGTTTTACACCGTTAGTGCCTCTGGTCTACAACGAAAAGGAAAATTGTTTAATCTTTCTGCTTATGATTAAATTTAGATTGCACAACGGTAATGCTAGCATGTTTGCTACGTAATATGTATTTAATAGAGGTTAAATATTAATTTGTGAAAATTGCACGTCTTTCCAACAACGCCTTGGTGGCGCGTCTATAAAGAAAATTATTCTTTTTAGATTCCTATTTCTTACTTATGTATATAGAAACGTGTTCTGTTATTACTACTAATGCCAGAAAATTACGTTTAAAGTAAAACACCATTTCTGTCCAATTTGCTTCAATATAAAATTACGCATAAATATTTTAGATTTTTGACAGAATTTTTTTTGCTTACTCATTACGGTGCGGTCTTGTTGTGAAACAAAGAGGTCAAGTTCAAGAAAAATTAAACGAAGGATAAAAAATATGTAAACTAGTATCAAGTTGCACAATCGTTTAATTTTTATTTAGAAAATTTTCACAATGTTATGACGGATAAAAAGTACTACTATCTAAGGTTAAACCTGACTCCGGATATGTTACAGCTGATAACGCAGTACAAAATACGAAGGTTAAATTACCAAAACCTTAAAAGGAAATGAGATATACCATGTGTTTTACTCCAGCATTTTTTATTTTTATGTTCCTTAAAATGCTACCTTACTTTTTTCGGAATGGTATGTTTTACCCAGTAAGAAAGTAATATTGTTATAAGTTATATGAACAGTTTGTAACTTAATTCCATCGCTACCTGCTCGAGTTAATAATATTTCCATGGTCTTCTGCAATCATATCTGACGCTTTTTCGGCAATCATGAAAACTGTACCAAATTGATGTCCAGTAACGCTAGTTGGCATCACACTGGCATCGACTACCCTCAAGTTACTAATACCGTGGACCTGAAGTCTGTTATTTACAACGGAATCATTTGGATTTGTGCCCATTTTGCAAGATCTAATGGGATGAAGTGCATGATCCGACATGGAAGTACGTAAATAGCATTTCCAGTAACGTTTGCTTCTGAACGGGAAAACTTTACATGCAGTATCGTCCTTGATCGTGGCATTAAACTTCTTCATGGGTTCCGATTCTGCAACGTCAGCCATGAAGTTTAGAGCTTCTATAATGGACTCTTCATCGTCAGGTTCGCCCAGAAGATTCGTGTTTATTACAGGAAACTGCAGTGGGTCGTTCGATGCCAACGTCAAGTTTCCAACAGATTTTGGTTTTAGGAGGGCGGTACGAATTCCGAAACTTTTTAAACCGGTTTTCCCAAAATTTACTGAATTGTTGTATACTGTGAAACCTTCGCCGTCAAGTAGCATGATCTCAACAGGACTGTTTCTACTGTTTTTGTAAAAAGCGACCACAGTTCGTTGTGAAACGCTCATGGGACCATGACCTTGTAAATATTGTGCAATCACAGCTTTTAGATCTGCTTCTTCAAATCGGTCAGTGGTTATGTACATACTAATACCAGGACGGTCTTGGAATTCCCTTCCAACCGGAAGATCTTTTACCAAAGTAATATTGTGTTTCAATAATTCATTCGCTGGCCCAACTCCTGACAGCATAAGTATTTGAGGAGATCCTACCGATCCTGCTGACAGTATAACCTCTTTGGTTGCTTTTGCAATGTACCTGTTGTTGTCATGTATGAATTCAATTCCGTAGGCTGTTGCGTTTCTAATTAATACTTTCGTAACTAGCGAATTGTCTTGTATTTGTAAATTTTCTTTATTAATAACGTCTGATATAAAGCATTTGAAGGCATCGTTTCTTTTACCATTGTGTGTTGCTAGCTGCGAACGTCCGTAACCGTAAACTTTTTGACCATTATAATCGGTTTTGGTGATTCCAAAAGTTCCCAACGCTGCTATGAAAGCCTCTTCGAACTCTGATGAGTTTCGATAATTCTCTACCGCAAACGGACCGTTGAACCCGTGATAATCAGGATCAATGTCTTTAAGTATGGATGCATTTTCGTAACGCTTGAAATAGGGAAACACGTCGTCAAACGACCAACCGTCTAGTCCTAGTTTTTCCCAGTAATCATAATCGGATGGAATTCCACGAGCGTGTACAACGGTGTGAATTAATGTTGTACCACCCAGGCCTTTGCCCCTAGGATATGTACATATACTTCCGATGCTATCTGAAAATGGAAATAGAGAATTTGTGTAATCAAGTGTTTAATGATTTGTGCGTAACAGTTACCTTCGCAAACTTTTTGTGGAGTTGTCTTGAAACCCCAGCTATATTCAGAAGTTAACAGGTGATTAAATGCTGCCGGTATGTCAACAAAATCGTCACTTGTACCACCCCCTTCTATTAGCAAAACTTTCCAATCATGGGCTTCTGACAGACGTCTTGCTAAAAGTGACCCTCCAGCTCCAGCTCCTACCACGATAAAGTCAAAGACTCCAAAGTCTGCAAGAAATGTACTTAAGAATTTCTTTTCTCAATATAACTTGCTTCTTACCTTTAGGAGCTGTGTATTTCTCACTAACATCGAAACCTTTGTAATAATCGGGCGGTTGGTATTTTTGGGCATTAAGCACTCTTTGTGTTATTAAATTGGCATAATATTCAGTTTGTTGGCTCGACTGACTTGAGAAGCAGCAAGTTAACGAAATAACAATGAGACCGATAACGTTAATAACGCTCATCACTGTTCCCGTTTTGTAAGATAGCATCTAACTACATAACATAACAGTCTGGCGTTCCGTTAAATCAGGAATTTATAAAAGAAGTGACATCCACAATTCGATAACCTAAGGTCACGGCCAAGCCACACAACATCCAGTACATGAGTGTGCACTTTTAATTTGTTAATAAAAGGTCGTTGTCGTTACAAAATTTTGGAATATGTTACAAGAGATATACAAATTCGTACAGTTTACGTAATTAATGTTGAATGTTATAACTGTTCGCCGTCACATAATAGGTTATTTTATTACAGTTGCTATCTTTCTATGATAAGCAATCACGTGTATGATATTAAATACCTTTGGGATATTTCTAAATGTTGTCATATATATTGTGTGTGCAATTTTTCCTAAGTTTTGAGTAATAATTGACAAATATGGAAAAGGTTTGAAAAATAGTTTAATATCCCCTATTATATTGAACTGCTTCATACCCTGCCTGTAGAAGTGTTCCTCCAATATCTATTTGCTAATTTTACTAGTAAATCACCTATGCATTTTTTTGGAAAGAGCTCTACAAAACGATGTCCTGATTAAATTTAAAATATGTTTATTATAATTCGTGTTTAACTTTGAAAAGCTTCTTTCGTGTGAAGCCCCAAAACCTAACTAGCTAAGAAAAATTTTGACACATTACCAGACTTGAAATAGACTCAGAATAAGTTCGTTTTACAATGAATCTCAAAAGCTTCATGGTAATCCACTAGGAAGCAGTCGTAAAATATTCAAATAGTACTTATTCTCTCCAGAAAATCTATCTGAGATTAGTGTCAGATAATAGAATAATGTCGCGAAGTTTTGACGGAAACAGAATTTCTGGCTGTGAGGGTGCCATCTATTGCTCCAATCAATGGTTCAAGATATTGTAACATTGATCTACACAGTCCCTCTGATAATGTTTGTCCAGAGCCTCCGAACTCTTCTCATACGTTTTCGAAATCTCCTTCATCCTCTTCTTTCACTTGAAATAATCACATTTTTACCCTTTTTAGTTTATCATCCCTTGGTGCTTAGCAACTTGGAGGTTGAGGGGGGTCACAACTTCCGTCTTTAGTCTGCTATTGTTTACTTCTCTTTTGAAAGGTAAAAACTTTAAACTTTTTGGTATTTTATTCCTACCAACTACCAATGCTGGAAGGCCGGCAGTCTCTCCAAACTATCCCAGAGGTCTTGAGGAAAGGTCGTTTTCAGCGTCCTTGTAGGGAATCTAAACTCTAGGTGCTCGAAAGATATGAAATAAATAAAAATCCTCTCCGGATACAAAGAAATCTTCCTTTCAGTCAGGGGTAATTCAGACTCCTAGCAGATGACGCTAAGTGATGTTGGGAAGTACCATTTGTTACTTTCTTTGCTTTTCCTCTGGTTTTATACTAAATTTTTTAGGTGCTGTGTAGATACCTATTATGAAAGAAAAAATCGGAATGTCGTGAACCTTTGGTTTTACAATTAATTTCTTTCTATTAATGTTGTGAGGATCAAAAATCATAAAATAACCATGGGGATGGAAATAGTCCTTTTCTAGCATAATATAGTTATTCTCTAACATAATACTTTATTAGGAAATAATATCTCTAAGGAAATTAGAATGTCGCGCTAATAACAGTGCGACGTTGTTAAATGTTAAACGTGAATCTTAAGAAACTTAATTATAACTTCTGTTAGTAAGTAATAATGTGAGAATTCCTACAGGAATATAATTCTCCAGTTCTAATTAGTAGAGAAACATGTCGTCTTCGCAAACACGCTATTATTTATTTATATATTTTTGAGACACATTAGGTACCCTTCTGGCATACTGAAAGTTGTAAATTTCGCTGGAAAACTTTTTAATCTTTTGCCTTGTGATTGTTTCCAGTGTGAGCAACGTGTAATATGCAATAAAAATCCATCTTCTCTTCTACTCTTTTATAACATGACATTTTTTTAACAACTTAGGTATGCTATAATAGAGAAAAGTATAGCGTTCGTTTCTATTTCAGGTAACGTCTAAACTTGATTGAAATGAAAGTGAATCACGATCACTTCAGATGGAAAGATTCATCAGTAGGTAAGTCCTCTTACTTTTTTTCTTTCATCTCATGATGGTTTTCTTTTAAAAGCTTTTATGCTAATTCCTTTGTAAATGATAAGATGTTGAAATATTGTCGGAAGTGAAGTCTTTGAGTAGTGAAATAAGTAGCTGTGTAGTTTCAAGAATCACGACTTCACAATTTAGTGCGTAATCTCTACATGACATATGCATTTAAATAATATTTAATGTAGTCAACAATGAAAGTAAAACTTTTTATTTGAAATTTTTTAATCTCAATAAGTTACCTAGTGTTGTGGCTAGAGGAATGCAAACAGTTGCTGATACTGTAAATGGGGTAATCTTTTCGGGGAATTCCTTAATTCTGTATTTAGAGGATGTAACGTTTGGTATTTAGGGAGTGAATCTATGTCCGAGGAACCACCCCAGCGTCACCGCGCGACAAAATCGCAAGTATGTCACCGGCCTTAGACGCGAAATGCAAGTAAACGATTCTATGCGGGGTGTCAATATTTTAATAAGATTATGGCTTAGGCTATAGAAAAAAATTGTAAAGGTGCTGCATACAATCTTCGATACTTCTAATTGAAAAAATGTCAGAAAGGTTATCAGTAGAGGTGCCCGCACGACATGGAATCCTCGTCAAGTGAATTACCTGAGTGTTCGCGTACGTCATAAGTAAATGAAAATCAAGCACACCCGCTGAGGTTTTATTGACTGTCAAGCTGTCAATCGTTGAATACATTCCGCGGTGGTCCAAACAATTTTTTTTTTTGGGTTTTATTCAGCAGGCATCGGTTTTACACTTTTCGTATTCAGTTATTCAACGCACACGTTTCTCATATAATCGGAAGAAGATATTGTGTGTGGACCAATTATTCAACGACATACGGCACGTATTCTGTCTTTCGTATTGTCACATAATGCAACATGCAAAGTTAATTAGGACTTACGCTCATTCTAATTAAAATAAGGAACAATTTCCCTCATTTTAACGTTTCTAAATATGCAGTAAGATTAGGCTGCAGCATCTATATAGTAAAATGTATTTGTCATTATGTTTTTGGTTTATAAAGGTGGAAGACTGAAAATTCAAGAGATATATTGGAAGAAGATGGATGGGAATCAATCGGTTGTTAATTCTGGATCTGTTTTTGTATGAATATGTTTTCTGTTCCCTTTGGGTTATAAATTTGAATCCAGGTAGTATTCGATCCTGGTCGATAGAAGTGATCTAATCCAATTATAAATTCAAATGTTTCTGTCTGCTTCGTTCGGTTGTAACTCAGCGTTGGGCACCTACAACCATATAGAGGCTGTCTGTCATCTACCATCTACTTTTCGGACTGTCTGCCGTCGTTTTGTTTCTTCTGACCACAACAACGCAGACATTCGTTCAAACAAACACACACGTATTCAGATACTCCAGATTACTAATGGCTCCAAATCGTTTGGGCGCGCGTTGTTTCTACCGAAAATAAAGAAATTTTTTTTTGTTTTTTCGGAACACACAACCCAACCTAACCTAACTCGGTCAAACTTGCGCCATGCTACCTTGCCGGACCAACTCATCCTGACATGATCAAAATCAATGATTGAGGTAGTAGAGGTCGAGACACTCCACCATTTCTGAAATGTTCGTGTTATTTGATATTCTTCTGAACAATTTTTGTCAAGTGAGGTTTACAACGGTTTTGTTGACAAAGACTATCCAATAGTGCAGATTCGGGCAAACTCGGCTCTTTTGACTCCCGAGTGCTCCTTAGGTATAGCCAAGGAGCTCCTCATTGCTCCTGCGAGTGTGAGTGAGATGATTCTTTCCTTTTCTTATCCCTTCCATTTCGTAGGTCAGTCCCCTCTACCATAGCCGAACCCAACAGCATTGCGAACGTAGTGCGGCATGCTACTCCTGAGCTGCGGGACGATCATTAGAAAATTTTCATGGGGATTATTTAAGTTGCGAGAGGGACTTTCCTCGTCTACGGGATAAAGGGGCTTGATATGGGAGTGGGAGAGAGAAGAAAAAGAGAAAGCAATATGGGTCATTACTGCTTACTCTCTCCTACTCATTGAAGGGTATGGTGTGACCCAAACTAACCTCATGTAGCGACTCCTACGAAGTTAAAGTTTGCCCGGCTCTGCAATAATCAGTGGAATTTACCATATGTAAGGTTTGGTCAGATGCACAGATGCGTTGATACGTCCAGCCCGCCTGCTAGACCCAGATAGATATCTAAAATGCGGCCACTTAATTATGTCAGAATTATTAGTCAGCGATAAGGACAAGTAAAAAAGTTAACGACCATAAACAGAAAACATTCGTCATATGGTCGGTGGCATTACGTATCCAGAGAACTTGTTCTACAGTTCAAGAGTCCTACAGTTTCAATAAATCACATTAATTATTAAACACTAGAAATGTTCTAATAATAAATTTAAAATCGTACTGTGTGAAGTGCACTAGAGTCTTCCATGTTCCAGGATAATTTTAACCAGCTTTTTGTTACTGCCTACAGTTCTGTGTCAACAGGAAACAGGATCAGCAGTTTTCAAGGGAAGCAGGTATCGTCTGTACAAAATCCTTCTGGGATTATTGATGAGAGATACAAAATCAATTTTGCAGAGAATTTCATTTGAAAAGTTGTTCGAATTACCGATTCGATTGCTAGTTTCACGGAACGCTAGATATGGGTTGTTGCTGTTCATGGCCAGCGTGGACTGCGGCGCCCAGCGGATCCGAGCGCGGTGTTCGTTATTCAAAAAGTCGTAGATGGAGTACGTGTTGCACGTAGATCTGATATGAATTTAAAATTAGCTTTTAACAAGTTACATAACGAGCTGTTAGATTAGTCGCGAATGGTAGAGAGGAAAAAGATGCCGATTGGATTCGAGCAATCCTGCTTGAGGAAATACGTGGAAGTCGAAGTGAGACAACAGAGAGAAAGAGAGAGAGGAAAGTTGAATCTTTGGGTGTGAGCAACGCGGCGTGCTT